CCCTGATTGCTGTCTTAATGAGACCCCCCCCCTGGACTATACCCTTAAGATAGCATTACTTGGAGGCCCTGTCTATCACTCCTGTGAAAACTAGGTGATCTAGGCTATCGATCCATATAAATACTGTCCGCTAAAAATGTTTTTTTGATATAGTTAATGGCCTGCGCACCCCCCCCCCCCTCAAAACCTGCGGCAGCCGCAGGTTTTGAGGGGGGGGGGGGGTGCCGCAGGCCATTAACTATATCAAAAAAACATTTTTAGCGGACAATATTTATATGAATCAATAGCCTAAACCTCGTAGATTCCATAGGGATGTTTTGAGCCTGATTCGTCTTCTTAGCTCTGAGTAATATTTGGTGAAAGCACAGCGATCAAAAGCGAAAAATGGGAAAAACGAGATTTTGGTTGGCTTCTAATTCAATAGTTTGGAGGTCTTCTGAAGCGGGATTCCTGAGGTGGACAAAGAAGGAGTAGTGCTTTGTATTGAGTGCAAGAAGAGGTAGCTTACTCACCGTTAAGATGAAGTTAATCATGTTTTGAATTACTGCTTTATACAAGGTTGTTTACTGCTCGGAGACCTCAGAGTTCGCTGAAACTTGGCGCATAGGGGTTATTCGACACGCGGATTACGACAATTATGCTTGATTAGAGGTACGGTAGGTTACGGTAGGCATACGGTATCTGCAAGTCTGTGTCGTTGAACTTGAATTTTGCAGGATTTCAACAACGCTTTCATCAAGTCAATTTAGTCACACAGCTTGTACAAGTGCTTTTGACCATGGGTCGATACGACCCCCCCCCCCTACCTACCCCCCCCCCCCCCAACGACCCCCCTGCGGCGTGCCGCACTCCCCGCTTTACCCCGGTCATTACCTATTACAGATTTCATTCTTTGGGTTCCTCCATACCGCGCCTCGGCCGGCCCCGCTAGCAGCCCGTAGTAGCCGCATGCAGCCGCCAGCAACCCTAGCAGCCGCTGGCCGCTTTGTTCATGGAATCGTAAAATTATCAGATTCTATCTACTTTGGTGCGCACGCCTAAGCTTTCCATCTTCCCCGCTTTTTTCCTTCCATTGCTGCTAATGTGTAATTCAACTCTTACACATTACAGAGATATCCAAGATAAACCAATAGCCAAGGAAAAGATTGAAGCCGCACCATACTTTAAAGATAAACAAATAGGCACCTTCATAAACTGGACGCATTCACAGTCAAAGAAATCACACCGCGGAAAACTTTGGCGAATTAAGATCGATTTAACTGCAAGAGGGAAATTTAGCAGCAATAGGATAACCTGTCTAAAGATAATAGCAACAATGGACACAAGTATGATATATGAGATGAAACTGCATATCGGCAGCGACAGGAAGGAAAAGCGTGGGAGATGAGAAATTCAGACGGCTTTACCCAAAGTAGCAAGAATCTGATGCTTTTTTGTTCCTATGAACAAAAGAAGCGGCCAGTAACGGCTACGGGCTGCTGGCGGTGGCTGCCGGCGCGGTATGAAGGCACCCTTATTTGCGTCTCTGAGATAAGGGATGGGAGTTGACACCAGGGTAATGAGATCACCGATTACGAATTTAGTAACCTTTTGTGAAAATAGCAATTACCTTTTATAGATCTTATCGATTACCTGCAACCTGAGCTAAGGTATGGGAGTTGACACGGTAGGGTATGTGAACCGTGGTGGGGGGGGGGATGCGGGAGAGGTTTGAGCATGCTGAACACGGATGCGGTAATTTTTTATTATTATACTTATTAACTTATCCCCATTGATTTTTTTGGAAAAGCTCAATATTGCCCATAACAGGCAGAAGATCGCTTGACGCATTTAACTCCATCTTTCCGAGCGAATCTTGGAAATTCTGCGATACTCAATTTAGAGAGCAGTTCCTTTGCAGAAATGTCATCTTTCTTGCAAAAAGTAAGCATGTAAGTAGAATGTTGTGGGAACTCTGTTTTAGGAAAATATTATCCACTTTTGACCAAATTTGGTGAAAATCTTCGGTAATCTCAGATTTTAAGATCAGCTGCTCTGCAAAAAATCTTTTTTCTTCATTCGGGATGGTGAGCGTGTGAGCGAGAATGACATTTTGGGAGCAGATTCTGCAGCGCTTCGCGGAGTGAAGCACTTTTTGGAGAAATATAACAATCTCGAATTTTGAAAACAACTGTTCTGCAAAAATTTCATCTTTCTTACTATTTTAGGTAGATACCCACTTTCCGGCCAAAGCTCGAGGAAATCTCCATAAATCTCGCTTTTTGTGTAAAATTGCAGAAACACATAGGCTGATGAATTGTAAATTCACTTGGAAATTTTTTTTAAAGTTTCAAAACAGCATTTATAGGTTTCTCTCAACCCACAGGATCGTGGCCTTATATACAGCTGATTTCTGTTTGTCTTTCTGTATGTCTGTATTTATATTCCCAATAGATTCATCTTGGAACCAATCCGGACCAAACTTTCCACATATACTTCGGGGCGCGCGTATGTCGTAATCTGCTCTTCGTAGTCCATATCGATTTTATCGATTTTTTGCAAAGTTTGAGCTACGGGCTGGGAGTTGGCACAGGGGAGTAAGTGAGCATGCTGATAACGAATATTTTATTAACAGGGCCGGGTTTGCTAGCTAGTACCGAACAAGCTTGGCGCTTTGAAGGGACGAACATACATGACGCGATTTCATCGCCTCATTCTCCCTGCAAGGCAACACGACTCCATTGCATGCCAATCAGCTAGCATTTCGGTTGTGACAGTTTTCCAATACTTCTATGAGACTAAGTATCACAACCCAAATGCAAGATGATCGGAATGCAATGAACTCATAACAGTTGTCTTGTTGGGATAATCGCGAGGCGTGAAATCGCGTGATATATGCCTGGCTGTTAAAGGCCCTTGAAATCACCGTCCACCCTAAGGCCCCGGGCAGACTTCACGCGATTTGATCGTCGCGACTGAATCGCGAGGAGACAACTGTTATAAGCTCCTGCAAGACGAAGGCGGTCGGTACGATGTGCAACGCAGCTGCGACATGGCAGCGTCACAGCAGCGTCACAGCCGCGTCACGCCACGTCGCACCTCGAACCAACCGCCTTCGTCTTGCAGGAGCTTATACTTTTATTTATTTATTTATTTTGTGCATTCATAGATGCTCCTGACGAACGTGGTTAGTGCAAAAAAAAGCAAAAACAGAACAACAAATAGCCAATCATAGACGGTGTCTCCAGCAGCCATAAGCAGCCATAGTGAATCCAAATTTAGAAGACAAGCAAGCTTAGCCCACTAATTCAACAGCATAAATCATGGTGTGAAAGCCATAAGCGTATCACTTTCAAGCGAATCTAAAGAGGAAGCACCAAGCGAATGGGCGAATCCATGCGTGCTTGGCGGAGGACCTCTTTCAGCTCCCTCTTACATCGCTACCATAAGGAACAAATAAAGGTTGAATAAAATGGGATGGCTTGGAAGAATATTGTGTACGATCCAAAGTAGCTTCTAAGCAAAATTGACTACTGGAGACGAAACTAGAATAAGTGTTAATGCAACAATCATAACGTTCAAAGATTCAAGGCTAAAAAGGCTATAAAAGTCAGCACTTAAAGAGAAATTCTATTCATTCTCAGATTGTCTCAGTAGGGAGGATAAGTCAATTGCATTGATTTTACGCTTGAATACGTTTGTAGATGAGGTCTGCAGTGCAGTTTCTGGTAATAGTCTAAGCCATCGGGGGATTCTGTAAAACAAACTATTAAAAACCCAACGAAAACGCTTCCTGTAAATAAGTAAATAATGAATGTTAAACCCACCATATCTGTTTGTAGGTCTAAAAATCCAGTATTTACTTGGGGCAAGTCTCAATTCTTTGTGCAAAAGTCGAAAACCAAAAACGAGATCAAAAAATATTCGTCTATGTTCTATGTTTATACAACATCATTCCATGCCGATCAACTTGCATTTCGGTTGTGATACTTTTCCAGCCCGAAATTTTTGAACGTGAAATGAAAATGAATGGAAATGTTGGCGATTCAATCGCGACGATCAAATCGCGTGAAGTCTGCCCGGGGCCTAAGTTGAGGGTTCTTGAGCTTTTGGCAGCATATGATAGTAGGGCCCCCTATCAAGCCAATGCCCAAGTCGCGACGCAAAACAACGCTTCGGAAGCGAGAAAATCGCTCCGGAATGAGGAAATGCACGAGGACCCCAGACGGCACCGCTCTCCCCATCCATGCCCGCTCATCCGTGCGCTCCCAGCCAATCACCGTTCCGGAAAGCCAGTTTGCGGGTTCTGCTTAGCAGGAATTTTCGGGGTTTTCGCGGATTCTCGGCTTCATATTCGGAATCAGGGACATGAGAAGGCCCGGAACGATCAAACATGGGCGTGCGTGCGAATTTACTCCCGTTGGGACTGCTGTAAATCACTGTCGAAACCCGTTGAGGTCTTTCTGACAGGCATGGCCTGCATCAACATCTCATGTCAGCTGTATAACGCTAGGCATCGTTCAAACGCCCTGGTACCCGTAACCCGCCTAAATCCGTTCGAATTCGCCTGAACCCACCAGAATCTACCTTACGGAAGAGATGCCTAGAAGTTGGCATCTCAGAGCATGCGTGAAATGTATGTATCATTCACAAGTAACTAGACCGAAATATCACCTCTGTTTTTCCCATTTGGCAGTTTCGGCGGGTTGCGGCGGATTTAGCGGCCAGTTCGGATAGGTACCGCGGTCTGAATGTTGCCTTAACAGCACCTCAGTACACTCTTTCTCACTTTCATCTAGATGTTCTTCAAATTGGTGCTTTTGAAAGGGTTCCGTTGACACTGTAGTGGCATGGCTTACATTCGTACCTAATCTCAAAGCCAGCGTTGTTTTGAATGGAGTACAGAATTGAGTATGGAAAAGATTTCACGGTTTTTGCTCCACATATTGCATAACGCATCAAAGGATCGGTTGTTCTTTATCCACAACATTGCTTCCTTGACTACGAAGCTGGGTTTCCAGGAAGACGTAAACTCCAGTTTTACCAAGCCAGCGTCAGGAAAAGACGGAGATGAAGAGGGGGAAACAAACACTAAACAGGGCAACGAAGTTGCTGAAGGAGGCGAAAAGAAGCGCACCTATAATGTAAGCTGAAATATTCTCCACTTCTTCCCCACATCTCAACAGGTTATTTTCAGCGAAAGGTTGTACGTCTGCCAAAAGAAGTGTTTGATTTCATGGCAAAAATCGAAGAGGATGGTGTCGTGAGATTCAATCTTACGCAGTTTGGTGTTTTTTATCTGAATGAGCTGAAGTTTATGGGAACAAATGTGAGTTTGACGTGATGTGTCACTTTTTGAGCTAAATCACTTTGCCTAGGTTGATGCTTTGGATTGGCTTACTGCAGATGTTCCTTTACTCAATGTGAGCGTTCCTCCCACTGCAAAGGGTGATCCCACTCTCATTGTGGAGTATGTCTTCCAGTGTTATGACATTCTTCTGTGTTCTTCCATTTAGTGTTTTGGTTTAGTCATTTTTCGAGCGACCCTGCAGTGCGCGAGGCTCAAGAAACACGACTGAAAGGAATCCTGGAGGTTAGTACTAGCTCATCATTGAAAAAAGTTCAAACAAACTAGAAAGCCTTTCAGAACCGAGAAAAGCTGAAGCAAGTTTATGCATCTGGCGGAAAGGTTTGCCGAGATTTATTTTGTGCCTTTTTTGCTCTGTTGAGGGCCATACCTTTCCAGATCCTACCTGCCGATGGAGTGGATAAAAAGATCGCGAAAAGGCAGAGGAAACGGGAAAGACGGGAAGAAAGGAAGAAGATGATGGAACAAGGACAGGGAGCTGGAACTCCCGCAAAAGCGGACGAGAACAACAAGTATGTGTTATACGCTAATTCGCACCGAATAATAACCAGGTCTACTCCATTTATTTAGGCACACTATTTACCATTAGTAAAGCTCGTACCATCTTACCGTGAAGATCCTTGGGTATAGGCCGTCCGCGCTGCGCACGGAGAGCGACGCTGTTGCGTACAATGAAGGCAGTTCACGACTGGAAGAAGCGCAGAGAAAAACAGGCGGCGAGAGTGCACGAGGAAAGAGGAGTACGCGCAATACACACCTTGCGCACTCTCCGCGCCCTGCGCGGACGGCCTATATTCATGGTAAGATGAGATGATGTTCATTAGGAAAGGGAGCTTTTTCTGGCTGCTTGCCAATCACTCTGAACGCAACAGTTCAAGAGAGAGAATTATATATTCATTGTCGTGGACGCATTGGCTCCGACCAACCAAAACGAACCTCCTGTTACATACGGTCAGCGCATATGACTGAATATTGCGAATTTTTTGTCCAACCTTTCTATCGTTGACTCTCAGCTATAGAGTAAGCGAAGATGTGCATCATCTTCGCAGAGTAAAAGTATTGAAAAATCAGTGCTTTGCGTGGCAGTAGTTTTTCACTGCTCTCTTCAACCTATAGCTGATAGACGACGATACTTTAGAAACAGTTTGCGATGATGCACGTGTTTTCACTTAATCGTTATTTTAGGATTTACGAGTGATATCTTGCATTCTTGCCCAAAGGAAAGCGAGAGTGCACGAGAAAGAGCCAAAATAGAAGCTGTTGCGGCTATCGGTGTAAAGGAAGAATACTTCAGCATTCATCATTCCCGGTGTGCCCAAATTGGGAGCCGTTTTTATTCCCCGGCTGTCCTGCGAGCACACTATTTGCTGCATCGAGCAACTATGCAGCACACCGATTTGCCTCAGGAACACATTAGCAGCGATGGTGGAGCCCTGCCTGACATATCTAGAAGTCACACTCAAGTCATACCACAAGCGCTTGAGTTTTGAGTGAAGTAAAATATACACTCTTAGCCATATGTAATTTTTCGCTGTGGTGTTGAAGGTGTCACAAAAGTACACACTAGTAAGGTGTCACAAAAGTAAGTATACACGTGGTTTCAATCCGTGATAGCTTTGCTCCCACAAAACCTTCTCCTTACAAGGGAGTGGTCAGAAGTCGAAGTGACCAAACCAAACAAGCTGTATATCATTCAATGCAGTATAAAACGCTGACTTCGAATCTGTCTTTGTTATCTGCTTGTCGCTTCTGTGGACGAAGCTACAAACGGTTCCATTGTGAAAAAAAATCATATATAAAAACAGCGAAATTGAGCACATTGTTGCACTTTTAGCTCAGCTTCTGGCTTGAAAAAATTTAAAGTAAGCTAGCTGCATGTTTTGGCCCAGTATTAAGGCGAACGTGGCTCTGTACGGCTAGATTTTCAATTTCAAGCATAAGTTCTTAGCAAATGATGGTCTTCAATGGCTTATAACTTCGTCTAGAAAAGTGATAAGCAGATATGGGAGACAAATTTGAAATCAGCATTTTATGCTGCATCTAATGGTATGCAGCTTGTCTGGATTGGCCACGTCGATTTCTGACCATTTGTTGGCTCCAAATACTATGCTGTGGAGCAGACTTTAACTTTGATTTACAGTAGGCAGCGGATCATCCATCGCTCTTTCTTCATCACTTTAGAACCACGGTATGAACATTGAAGGGTTTTGAGGTAAAAATGGCTAGATATCAGATAAGGTAATGCGAGCCGACTTTATTAGGTCAAACCTAATCGCTAATCATGAATATGAATTTCGCACTTTACCGTGAGCTTTTTTGTAAGTTATCTCAAGTGACCGCAACAACGTTTTTTTTTCAGTGTTTTTTAGTAATGTGGTTGAACCACGAAAAGCCCAAAAAACTCGTAAAAGTTTTGTCTAATGAAATCAGCATGTCTGAAGACTGCTACACAACTTTACAGATTTTTTTGCAACCTTCTCAAACGACCTATTTTCGAAGTTTCTACCGTAATCCTACACTAATTAAGAATGATGAGTCATTCGCTTAGCGTAATTCTAACAATAAGTTGAAGGCTGCTCTACTGTGGTACTCAGAGCTAAGCAAAAGACCTTGTGGAAAGAGAGTTATTAAAATTGAGAAGTGTGTACTTAATTTTGGGAGACCCTGTGTCCGTGGTGCCCGTGTCACCTGAATTCGGCGCAAAAGTTGATTGTTGTGTGGTAGTTTGGAAACTATTGAAACCATTTTCTTTGGCAGTGCTTGCTTGCTTACTAGGTTCAAAAGGCACGAACCGCGTTGTTTGCCTACAAAGGAGCAAGACTGACTCAGAACTTGGGCAGAGGTTTGACCCCAAAGCAGTTGGAGCCGATTCGAAGGCTGGAATTGGATATTACAGCAGTATCCCAAAGCTATATAAGCGCACGAGTGCGATCATCAGGATCATCATTGAGAAATTGAGTGACTTGTTATCACTCATCGTCACGAACCTTGTCGTACCTTTGAAAGCTGTGTGAAGTTGGGGTCTGAATTGCTTTCAGAGATAACCTGTGCACGTCATGTCAGACCCACAATGAGTTTTAAGTCGCCTTAGTACAATGAAATTCCAAATCTAGTTGTCTAGCTTCTTCAATGAGTTTGTAAGAAAGGTGCATGTTGCCGGCGATTCGACTAGATTTGTTCCGATCAGATCAGGGTGCGCCTGAATTGATGATATGATAGTACCAACCATCACACTCGTGAGCCGTCGTAATTGCGGCGAGTATAGAAATCTTGCGCACTCTACAATCGGATTAGAATCACTTGCCGCGTGACCGTGCTTGAACTAGCAGCAAGCACGGCAAACGTGATGTCTCTGAGTCAATCGCATACATCAAATACTAGTATAGATGTGTCGGGTCATGTACAAAAATGTCTCTGTTCGGAGAATATAAGATGCGTTTCATATAATCGAACGCAAATCGTCATCAACTGTCAAAAGATAATGCAGTTGTGTGGCGTGTGCAACACTGAGTACTTAGTGCCTTCGATTTTTCTACCTTGCTTTCGCATGGATGCATAAGAAATGAGATTAGAGCAAGTTCACATACCTACAAGTTAGAGAAGTTCAATGCTTTTCAATTGTACGAATTTGTCAGTTCAACCGATGATAAAATACCGTTCAACTCTATGGGTTGAGCCGTGTGTTATCATTCGTTGGAGTGCATTGTATTGTTTAACATCGATACAATTTCATTTTCAACTTCATTCCATTGCTCCTAAGACTTCGTCATACCTAACGCGATGCCATTCGCCACGCGACTTGGCAGTCGATTGTGCATAATTCATCGTTAGCGCACTTTGCCTAGCAGGACTCAGCACTATCGTCTCAAAGGCAGTGGATCAGCAGAATGGAACCTTCCCGGATTTTGGTGGATTTAGGTAGTAGACCCCCCCCCCCAAATACACTGTAGTCCAAACCCCATCTCAAATTCATGCGCTAAGTCCTGAAAAATGCGCTTCAAAACTCGACCAGCCCCGCCCATTCAATGGGAAGGATTTCGAAGCACATTTTTCAGGACTTAGCGCATTAATCGGCAGATGGGGTTTGAGCTACAGTATTTGTCCTAAATCCACCAAAATCCGAGAAGGGTCCATTCTGCTGATCCGCTGCTTTTGAGTTACAAAAAATACATGCCTAGTATTTGCCGCACGAGGTGGATTTGTAAACATCAGTTTGCCAGATCGGGCGGCGACAGCAATTTGGCATTAGCGTTAGCTATTCAGCGATGCCTTATGAAAAGCTTATGGCAATCTTTGAAGTTATTTCGATTGTTCAGCGATGGTATGCGCTTCCGTTGAACTTGAACGAAGTGGCAGTCCTTTTTGCTCATAAATGTGGCCGAGCGCCCATTATTATGAGTATCGCGGGACTGTTCTTGTGTACGTCGTCAAATTTTCAGAAAGCGTTCGGCAGAAAACACTGAATCATCAACGACTATAGAGGGCGGCGTTGCCGCTAAGCAACCTCGTTTGGATACTAATGCTACAAAAAGTAAGTCTAAGTCATACACAGTGCTGGTACTGATAATCTCGGTGCTTAGCTGTGACTTCGGTTGTAGTGAAGCGCAGAAAGTGCGGGACCCTTGTAGCTACAGGCCTCCTTTTGCGGAGGTCTACTTTTTATGCGTGGGATGCTTGTTTATTGACGAACAGCAAAGTTAGTGCATGTAGCATCGATTCGCAGATGAGATTTTCCGCTGTTTGTGTATGAGAGGGTGCTGTGACCACCTTCATCACATCTTCGGAAATTGTGACTGCTGCTGTTGCACCGTCACGGTCTCATTCGGTGACTCCCTCTCGTTTGTGGAAAAAAAGGGAAACTTCGTTTTGCTACAAGGAACTTTCCTCTCCCTTACCCATGTTCTCACGCACCTTAGCGCCTCCAAAAACGTATCGAAAATCCTCTACAACACGTTATCGCTTATTCTTTGGAATATGCATCTCTAAGGATGGTTTATCATTCAGCTTTTCCAAAAAAGAGTGGAGGTCCACAAACTGGAAATCAAACCATCGCAAAGCCGGCTACTGCTGTCAAAAATCCACCTGCCAAAAAGAAACCTCCGCCAAAACGCGCCACGTACAATGAATGGCAGAGTGGTCCAGGTTACTTTGGAGGCAACTCAGCAGGAAGAGACCGATTCCGACAAAAACCAAGACCCTTCCAAGATGTACGTTTTATGTGTTTTTTGGCTTATTTTTCCAGTGATACTCTTCCAGACGCGTCCTCGGGAAATCCCATCGCTCTTCTCGGCTGGCCGTGGTCCTTCTGGTGTGTCGCCGTGGTCAAGACCACCTTTCCAAGAGTAAGTTTCTCTCAACATGATAATAATAATAAGAAGAACGTTTGCAGGGACGTTCGCAGTTTGGAACAAGTGATGCGCAGAGCTGCTCATGACAATTCGTCATCATTTGATACGGCAAGACAAGTGGATAGACTGGGACTTGGTTCAGCTATGGGATCACTGTTGAGCTCTGCACCTGAAAGAGTGAGTTCATGCTGTTCGTATCTTTTCTAACAAATGTCAAAGATCTGCGGTAGATGGCTACCTCATGATTTGATTCTATTGTGACTTTGTTAGGATCGACCATTGCAAAGTCCGTGCGCTAGTTCCAGTTTTAGGAGTAGCTTTAGAAGGACTTCATAGCAAGCTCAAAAAGCAGTATTGATTCCAGGACATGCCCATGGGTCTGTATAACGATGTTCCAACTCGCCAAATGCCGTCCTTAGTTGACTCGGCTTTCAATCGGTAAGTCCGAATAACTTCATTTCTTGTTTTGCTTTATTTGACCAAAAATTTGTTGTATGGATTGCGTTTATATCGTAGGGCTACTAGGCGGTAGGTTGAATTATTAATATATCAATTTTGCATGTGTATAAGATGAAGGTCTTTGTATTGTTTACAGCCGTTGTGATGAACTTGGAGCTTCTCGTTATGGTGAGGAATTTGGGATTGGACGTTATGGAGGAGCCAGAGATGCACCAGTCCGTGACATCAGTAGTTTTGTAGAGCCTATCGACGATTTTATGGACAGGTACGGATTTCAGCCCATACTTAGAAACACCAATTTACCAATTTACCTTCCAGCCCACGCAAAAACGCCTTTGGTCAATCTTCTCATGCTGACAGAATCACCTACCCCAGCATGGGTGGTGCTTCAGGACGGAGTAATGCTGCGATACCGCCGGTACATTTTTTTTTACTTTGGAAATTTTACATGTAGGGTAATTGTTGTTACTGAAATATTGATAGGTTTAAGCTTTTACAGTTTGGACAGTCCTATTCGGCTTTTGCTAATGAATCATACGGTCAAAGAATGGATTATGGAAGTGGTTCAAGGTAAGTTCGATGGAATTTACGTTGAAGTTCACGAACTTTGATGAAACATCACTTCATCATCTCTACAACTGCTAATTTGCATTGAATCCTTGTTGAATTATTTCAAAGTCAGAGAGTTTTTTTTTATAGACCCCGCAGCGTCAGCCCATATGGAAGGGCATTTTACAGATGAAAAAATCGATTCTTGGCAGCTCCAACTCTAGTTTTTGTTATCTTTGTCTATATCACGCGGCTAGTGTCTATTTCTTGACATTTCCTTTGATCTGCCTCATCGTGAAGTGTTTGTTGTGCTCCCATTTAATAATTTATTTCAACGTGAATATCTACAATACAATTTATTCAAAGGCATATTCTCCTCAAAAAAAATTATGTACAACACTGATGTGTGAGCTGTAATGTGAAGCGGATAATAAAAATCAATAAAAAATCGAAAAGCAATCGTCCTATGCGTTGCTATAAATCACAGACGAAACATTTACAATACAAACAAATAACAAGTAAATGCATAGCGCAAAAGACACAATGCAAAAATGGTGAATATAAACCCATACCACATCCAATAAGGATGTCAAAACATCGCTTAGAAAGGCGCGCAGACAACATGAAACCGAAGCTCTCCAATGCGCTAATAAAATCTATAGCCTCGCAGGCAGTAATAATGAGAGCTGAAGGATACAGAGAGCAAATCGACAATGAACTGAAATTGGTATGTTGTCTTTGTATGTTCTCGGTGGTGTGTATGTGTGTGTGTCATGAAATTACCCGTGTGGTATGGCGCAGAGGTGGTAGGCTACGGCTACGGGAGGATCTCGCCGTCGTTAAACGAGACAGCTTCGAAAATCTGTATACTCCTACAGATGGGATTACCACACTCTCGCATATCCATCAGCGAGAGCGATGTCGGATGCAAGTCGCATACCAGCTGGACTCGTCCAATGCATTCATAGCCACATCTGGAAAATGAGAGTGAGTAATAGGCTGTGAAAAACGAAATGGCGATTTCGCTGACTGAGTTACCGACATACTAGCAGTGGCGAGAAGTTTTGCAATAGGCGAATGGGCTAGGAGATTTCACCGTTAAAGCGTTCTTGCGTTGCCAACAAAATTACGCGAAAAGAAATTTGAAGCCTTGCTAGTTGCATATAAAATGGTCACAGAGCACGTACTGGCTTGGTTTATGCTCAAATGTAGTCGGCAAGCAAAAAACTATTTTTACCATCAAGAGTGTGCCCTTTCATTCAACGGGACTGACGGCTGGAAGGGGGGCTTCGAGACCTAGCCAAGGCGAGAGAATGATCAGAGAGCACGCCCGCAAGAGAGACGCAGGCTGCGTCGCGGGTGCGAGCGGCCGCCTACCAGCCGTCAATCCCGTTGAATCAAATGACTGGCGGCGTTGCACGCAGAGACAGGATGCCGTTGCGTCTGATTGAGATAGTTCATACTTGAAATAGACAGCAGACGGCGAGTTGAAGGAGCGCTTAATGAGGGAGACGTGGATAGCGCTCGCAGTGGCGTCCTGTCTCTGCGTGCATGACTGGACAATACGTTTGCTTCATTTCCTTTTCCAACATATCGCCAAATCTTTCGTAACTTTTCATGCGTATCGCACACCATGCAGTATCTGACGACTTGTAAGAATAGAATCTGCCTGTTTCCAGTGATTTCTCCTTGTTTCCTTGCTTCTTTTGATTTGGTGGATATTTATTAATTAGCAGTACACAATGCTATAATTTCATACGCTAGAATACAGGGGAGTTTGTAGTAAGGCCGTCGCCAGTTGCTTTGCGTAGTGTGCAGACTCACATGTCAAGTCACAAACGACTTGCGAATAGTTCTCTTGTATTGCTGACAACATTTGCGCGAGAAGAAACGCCATGCTTACGAATTGCTTGCGAGTCGCGAGTAGAACTTGCCAAAGAGCGCACATTGCTGTTTTTGACGCGTAGGTGTTGTCGCCGACGCAAAGCACTACATTCACCGTCCAATTTACTAGCTTATAGGACTGGCACAGAGTTGCTGCGTTTACCCTCAACATACAATTAAGCTTCAGAGAAGAAGAAACAAATCACCCCCATCATGCCAGACGCGCTTACTCCCACACTAAAGCTTTCTCTATGAATAGCCGGTTATCAAGAGGTGCTTTGCTGAAAAACGGAAGTGACTGCAAGCGAGCTCTCCCACTCAAACGTTTTTTACCATCTCGTTTGTTGACGAAAGGAAAAGAGTCGTCCTTCTCTTAATCCAAGAAAAACTGCAGACGGAAGTTGGTATATATAAACATGAGAAAAGATCAATAGCTCAACAGTGTAAATAATGGTGCAGCTTAGCGAATCATTCGAGGTTTACTTTTAGAAGAAAAAAACTTTGGGGGATCATATGACAAACACATCCACACGGTTTTTGAATAGGAATGAATATCCAATGCAACTGAGTCAGTGGTACTCCGCACATCTGTCAAATACTTCAAAAATTATTCAAAATTGGGATTATTTGAATTTTTGAGAACTGAGCTATTATTCGAAAAATCGGAGTTAGAAGTTGGTTTTTTCGACATAACTCAGTTCCTAAAAATTCAAAGAATCCTCATTTTTCCACCGTCTCTCCATCTTTCTTCCGGTGATCAATCAATCGCTTGCCATTCTTCACAGCATTAGCGCTGCCAATTCATCAAGCAAATGAAGTCAACACAGATTGATTACTCAAAAAATTGACTGGCCATGCGCTCTAGGAAAGTTCTAGAGATGGAGGGTAGTTGGATAAATCTTGCACAGCACATTTTATTTCACTCGTTTTCCGTAAAAAATAGACGTGAATCTGGCATAATTTTTGCGGCTGAAATCAACACTACTCTAGTTTTGATTTCAACGTCGCCTTGTGTAATTGCACTACTTTCTAAATTCGCACAGGAAGTGGCGAAATCAAAAAGTACGAAGACATTTCCTCACTTTTTTTGCCATCGTTCGTGCAAGTCGATAAATTCGAACTGTTTTCATACTCCCAAGTGTCTTTACAGCCGCTGGCCAACTCTCCTGTAGATTGCAGAAGTGGTGCAATCCCACAAATGCGACTTTGAGGTTAGAACGACTGTATACAGTTTGTGTCAATAACGTGCTCCCTTTTCCGTAAACGCAATGAGCGTTCGCGCGCGTATGACTCGCACAAGCAAATGTGCTTTATCGATTGGAGGCCCGCACGCAGGGCCCTTGCGTTGCGCATGCGTAGTAGTTCCCATGCGAAAGTACGTAATTGACATTGACTGTATTGCAAAGGTTTGGTAAAGACTACTGTGTTCTAAAAATAAAATTCCATCTAAATCAGCACCACGCTGAACACAAAAAGTAGTATGAGCTTTTTCTGATCTTTTGATTCGATTACAATCCTAACACTAGTCTACAACTCTGCACTTTCTTCAGATAACTTATCTAATCTAAGGAAAGCTTGTTACGAGGATAAAGTATACTCCAAGGCTAAATCTTACACTGTCCGAAATCTAACCAACACATCTGGCGAAATGTACGCCGCATGTCTTCTGCTTCATAAAGAAGTCACTACAGAAATCAGTGAAGTGAAGTACAGCCGCATTGCGCTAGGAAGCAAAAACGTTAACCTGTTAGTAGTGGGCCTTGACCAAGAAACTCTCTACATTACTATAGAACACTTTACACTTGGTCGTTTTCTAAGGCTAATATGTGCGATGGCACACAATATTCACATCCTCACGCTAAAGCCCTGGAGCCCGCCACAAAAATACATGCCGGATAGTTATCTTTCAACTTTGTTTCTGAGGCAACAAAGAGGTCTCCCAAATTAGTATCTCCTCCACGACGAAGGCGGTCGTCCAAATAGGTTGAGAGCATGCAAGGCTGACGCGCACGTGGCGCGCGGGCCATTGTCAACCACGGGTCGCGCGCACGCTCGCGTGGATGACCGCTGACCGAGCGTGCGCGCGCCCTGTGGTTGACATTTGCCCGCGCGCGGCGGCCTTGCATGCTTTCAACCTATTTGGGCGACCGCCTTCGTCTTGGAGCAGATATTATATACAACAGCGCCCAAAATGGAAAAACTGCGAAAGTGTGTGATATGTAATCTCACGTATTAAGCTATGAAATGTACCATGATTTGCTCAGCTTTACTTCATTTGCCGCTTATGCTGCGTCCATGCTTTCGCGTGCCGGCGCCATGTCGAAACTGTGCCGGCAAAGGTCCATCAATCAATACGCGTCCAGCAGATTCCGGCACGGCGTCATGGCAACTCTAGACGCGTATTAATGCGTACGTTTCATTCTCCAGCTTTCAATTTTTTGTGTCATAACTATTGGCTCAGAGACAAGCTGTGCTATTGAGCTCATATCCTTCAAGAATCTCCAAAAACAAAGCATCGGCTTCGAGAAATCTAGTCGTAAAGCATTAACTGCAGAACAAACAACTGGCCACTCGAAGCTGTTTCTGATATGGGTTGCACATGTGTTCAAGCTCGTTGTGAAGAGCTGATGCTTAGCCACAATGTGGGCACAATCTTATTTTTGTCTCGCATCTGTCGACCAGTCAGGAATGTGAAGATGCTCAGCACTTCTCATTGATAGAAAGCAAACAATCGTTTGTTTGAAGAGTATTGGCGCACTAGTCTCGAGCATATCAGCAAGAAAATAGCAAGTGGTATAGGTGGTTATTTTTTAATCAAATTCAAACTTTTGCGAAAATTCTGGACGTAAGAGTCAACAACAGTTGAATAGCTTTTTTGTAGATACTGCACAAAACGCGCGCTACTTCAAAGTTCAATAATAGAAGCTATTGATTTTTGAAGATTTCTCCTTGTTTTCTTGAGTAGTAGTACACATTTTAACACTTTGTACTAGAAAGGGTCACTAGGAAAGAGTCGTGGTGTAGTTTAGCGTAGTTGAGCGCACTGTGTAATTGCAAACCGAGCTACAAATGATACCTCCATCCGGTATCGATTCTTTGCTAATGTGTGCAATTGCACATTTTTCCAGAAAGTTGGCGACAGGAGACGCAAGTCAGCCAGCATGGTGCAAGACAGATGATCACTCACGCCTCTGAGGCGCAGTTACGCTAAGAATAACAAATAATCTTATCAAGGGAAACAAGAAAAATAGTACCCAAATCCCATGACCGACCGGATCCTAAAAAGTGTGCAATTGCACCAAAGAAACCTACGCGATCATAAGCATCTTGTACGGATGAAGCGGAATAAATTTGGGACGATATCTATCAGTCTGCTGATATGAATCGGGCCTTGTTATCCCTTTATAAATTAGCTCCTATTGCCCGATCAGAGATCGCGAGATCGGTAAATACCGCCACTTAATGTGTATAATTGCGTAGCAGAAAATGCGGACGTCATTTTCTCAACTTAAGGGCATTATTCAATGTTGCTCCTTTTATGAGTTCCACTATTTCATTTACAATGCTTAGGCATTTAGCAGGACATGCAACAACTTTTTTCTCAAAACGATTACGGTAAAAGGCCATTAATTCACAAATTCCAAGCAGATGCGTGTTGATGTGCAAATGCACGCATTACCACGTGAATTTGATTATGGGAAACTGCCTAATTTTTCTTGAAAACATGGACACTACTGTAATGTGCAATAATCAATTCTCTGTTGAATGGAGCATAACCTTTTTTGATGAATGGAGCATAAAATTTTACCTTGCAAACCTAATGGGAGAATAAGGTATTAAAAACTAACCGCTTGCAAATCACATGTGCATTTGGACGGTCACAAATGCAGACGTCCTTCTGCGGAGGCGGAAGCGGACAGAAAGCGTTTGGTCTGGACAGGGGACCACGTGGTCCGTTAACGATCCGGGGCGCGAACGGTTGTGGCTGTTGAGGTATTCTCGTGTACACTTGCGATGGGGCTATCGGTTGTTGTGGGAGTCGTGGTGGGCGACGTTTCTCCTAAAAAATCATATTTAACAGTCCAAGCGGAATATGGCGTGCTTGCGATGACGAGATTTTGCGGTCAAATTTGCGCGCAAGCAAATGGCCACGTCAGTGATGCCGGCATTTTGCGCGCGCAAGTGGCCGGCCGGCATTATCGGCGTGGCTATTTGTTCACGCGAAAACCTTGCCGCACAACCTCGGCACCGCAAGCACACCATACTGAGTAGAAAATCTACTAGACTGTAAGATTTCAGAAATGCGGGAACTTACCTTAAGAGAATCGGGTTTAGGCAAGAGGTCAGCCATTAATGGGCGCGGTTCAATAAATGTCTTCACGATGGTTTTGCTTGACGGTGTACGCACCTAAAGAGCTTTGTGTGTGATTACAGAAAGGATGAAGAGTTTTTCCTTGTGAATTTCACACAGCGTTTTCCCAAACGATTAGCTTCGTCTCGAGCTCTTAGGAGAGAACTAAACGAGTGAAGGAGTGAAAACTAGTTTTCTACGGCTGTCAAGAGGTTATTGGAACGAACGTTTCGTTTGAGTTTCTTTTTACAAGCTGTAAGTTGTGTACCTTTACTTCTTTTCTTGAATGAAGCAAAAAAGAGACCAGAAAAACGCAAAGGAGTAAGAAGAAAAGGTCACGAGACTTTTTTATCATTAACTGAATTGGGGGAAAAACAGAAGAAATGCATCTAGACTGTAGTGATCAAAAAATTCCAAGCTATCTTTCGCGCTGATCAATAATTCCGGACTGTTGTTGTAATACAGTATATTACAGTAAAAAGCTGAGAATTGCTGCCAGTGCATGGCAAAATCAAAAAAAAATCATGGATGAAAACCGCTACAGAGTTCAAACACTATTGGAAATTTCGAAGTAGAGCCATGCAAACTCTAGCCATCAAGGAAATCTATTTCAGTAATTTGAAAGTTAATAATGGTCTTGAATTCATGTTTAAAGGGAACACGTAGCGATAGAAGCAGAAATTCTTAAAATATTCGCCTGAATGCATTCTAGCATGCTTTGTAATGCAAAAGCGTATATAATATTTTCCGAGGTTTGATGGAAATTATTGAAATCAATTAATTTCGTTAGGCAGGCCTTGACGCACGCTAAGGAAATTAACAGCGGAATGTCACGTTATAAGAAAAAATGGAATTCTAGATATTCACTATTTTATTCAGTTACTTTACTACATGGAAGATAAGTAGCAAAACTATAATACTCTGAGGAACTGAGATTCGAAACTGAACGTGTCTCCAATTTGAAACTACAATATTTTATTTTTAAAGATATTCGTTACTAAATACTAAAGCTAATCAAACTAACAGACTTCCTTCCCGACTGAGAAGTTCCGAATAAGGTGTGTAATTTAACTCCGCTGAAAGTCAAAGCCCAACCGGAGTATGGTAAATTTCTACCAAGATATAAGAAATATTATTATTATTATCACTATCTAAGCCTGGCAGAATTTTGAATATTTGTGACAAAACTGAAAAGCTTTTAGAGTTGTATACTTTGTCTGGAAGACGTGTACAGACGCAGACAACTATTTTTCAAGGAAAAGTAGAAGGCGAAGGTAGACGGGAGTTTTCAGGATTTTCTCGGAGTGAGCATCAACTGTTTCAAACCATCGAGTCTGGGAGTTGATTCACTGCCTAGGATGCCAGCCCGACAGAGCCCAGACCCCATGGCCAGCCAGCCAGTCCACTGGTCACCACCATGAGCAATGAACACGGACACGGATCTGTGCTGTCGATGTGCACTGAGAATGTGAACGATTCGTCAACACACTCACACAGGGACGATCATTTGTCTCAGGGACGATGCATGCTTGAAAGTGGGCGGAGTGTGCACTTCACGGGGAATGCAACGTTCGCCGGGTGTGCAGACGATTTTTCGCAGAAAAACAAAACTTCATCGTTAACGCAGAGCGGCACGGCGGGTATTCAATAGTGCGTCTTTGAACACATATTGATTTGAAAGCGACTTTTCTCGTCTTCTCGAAATTTCTCGGTCAGGTGTAAGTCTGTACCTTCGATTTTTGCAAACCAGAATTGTACAATTTTTGGAAAATTCTAGTAGATTTGAGCTCACCTCAGTGTTTGATCGTTGCTTTGCCATAGTTGGCGGTGCATCGGCAGAGACGAAAGCATCCGAAGGCTTTCCATCGCTGGCCGGATGTGGACCGCGACCACCCTCCAGGAGACGACGCGGCACGTAATAGGCTTGCGTAGGGCGCGAGTGGCTGAAATTTCTCAAAAAAACTTTTTTGATGTCCTCGGGCATTGAGTTACAGTATCCACTAGATAAGTAAAACCCGAAAAGCTACTTTACAGGGGCTCTCTTGTTTTGTGCATTCCCAGATTCGCGCCAAGGCGGAGATGCGGGCCTATCAGCGTTGCGGTTCTTTAGGTGATACAAGGTAACTATGTTAGAACATGGCGTTCGCTTTGATGCAAATTTGGGAGGGCACCATAGTATGCCGATTCATTCATTACGCACTATGTGTACTGCACACCATGCGCTACAACCCACGCCATCCTCTTACTGTCTGCCTCAGAGAATTCTAGTTTTTTCTCTCTTTTTGAGCATGGATGGGTGAAGTGCAAATAAATATTCTTCGTCAGTTTGCAATCTCTTTACATTGTTCAACCCCAAAGAGCCGTGGAATGCCGCGCACCCTGTGCAAATAACACATTAAGTTACAAATGCACTGTACACCCTTCTTCATTTCTTCTTCTTCTCCCCCGCGTTCGCCCCCTAATCGACCCTATAACCCGAAAAGTCGCAAACCATGAAAAACTACTCACGAGGGCGGCCTCACTGGGGCAGACACGTCCATTACCTGAAACAACAGAGAATAAAGTGGGTCGAGTACGATGAAAAAGTAAAACAACTCGAGTAACTGACAAAGCAAACCGAGTAGAGACGAAGATAAAGCAAGCAAACAGTACGGCCGATAAGTTGCGGCGGTAATAGCGGTTACTATTGGTAGCTGACCAAGGTAAGGAACGAAACTGGTAAATTTCTGTTGTATCTTCAGAAATTTGATTACTTTTTAATATGGTAAAAATTATCTATTTCTTTGTAAATATTTACCATCCAAAGCGGAATGGAAAGATACAGCAAAAACCGAGAATAGAAGTATTGCTCTTCCTTTAGCGTTGTAGCGAAACCGTAAATCTTATGAAAAACCAAATGAATCAGGTATCAAGTGAGAAAATATTTTTTGCAAGGTCAAACTAATGAATAATTTGGGAGTCTGCTTCGGAAATTTGGAGAAAGGCCAGCTGATACAACCGCCATAAATTTTTCAAATTCACAGGCTATTTTTTTGGTAAGTTAATCTTTCTTCATAAAGTTTGCATACTTGGACTGGGTTTATTTTGTGCTGCTCATCAAAAACTGATATTAAAATAAAAAATATCCAAAAAATAAATAACAAAATCGACTTTTCTTAAAATGGTGGGTAGATCAGTGCACAGAAATTATCATTGAAGCCCAAAAAGTCATGACTCCAAATTCTGTAATTTGCTCTGGAAAGTTGCAAGGCTATGAAATAAATTGCAGAGAATATGCTACAATGACTCTGCATATCCTTGTTTTTTCTATATTTGTATAATTTTTGAATTTTGTTAGATTTTGCTAAGTTACCCTCTCTTCATAAGCCAGCAAAAATAAATCTTGGTCATTTCAAAACTAACTAGCATTCGCTTTAAAAATGCAAAAATAAACGAGATTTTGTGCGCATGTCATATCGAGTAGCAACAATAGCATGGAACATTTTGAGGAAAAACATCTACACTGTAAATCTTCCGATTGTTGATACCCAGCCAGATAAATTTATAAACATTCCTCACTATGGATATGGTTTATCACGTAGCATCAACGAAGAGGCTCTAGCAGCGATACACAAAAAAGCCCGCGAGTTATCTTTGGTATGGATCATCACAACCAGTTCTGATCTTTTCCTCTTAAAAACTAAGATGGTTTTTCGTCTAGGAAACGATGACATGATTGCTTCGCTATAAAAACTCGCGTTCTCCCGCTGGTCACCTCGTCTTATCAAATAATGGAAGAGTATTGATGGATATTTCCACGAACAAAAAAAAAGTGAAAACATAGAGCAGTTGAGTGTTAACTAATCACTATGTACTTTACAATATAGTCACAGTAACGATGACACAAACAGGTCACTGAAAGATAAATGGGAAGCAATGTTAGGGATGAGAATTCTGGAACTTTCTGCGGGTGTTTCTGGTATAAGTAATGAAGAAAATGAATTTTACACAGCAAAATTTGTTCGTTAGACTAAATCCATAGTTCAAAAAATTTAACACCTCAAACGGGTTCACATAAAGTTCTAATCAAAAGTGTCATATTACAGTGACGATATCATTCATTATCGACCCGAAACACCTGATCTGATTTATGGTCATCTGCGCTTCTTTTCACTTTCAAATCCGCCCTAATCAAATCATTTATCACAAAAAATTTTCAGAATTAGCTAGTATGTGTTTCGGGTCGTAGCAGGTTTGAAATATTGATTGGTGGGAATTATGATTGCTATAAAATTTAAGGTAAGGCTATTGAACATATTCAGTTCAACATAGTCTTTATTTCATCACCGCCGTCCTCACAACCAATTTGTTATAGCATGAACTTGAGATGTTTTCAGTAAAATTCGTTCAAAATTTTCATAAAAGTGTGATCTTGTCCCATGATTTTTTCGTACAAAAATTTCTAAAAAAACGCATTAACATTTCTCTACACAATGTACAGAAGTGAACGCTGAACCTGAACAAAACTTACATTCATTCATTCAATCTGATACAGGAACTTGCATTCTAACTCAATGAATGAGCACGTGACTTTTTGCGAAGAGAAACTTTTTTGCTTTTACGTACAAAAAATTGCAAAGAAAATGCTAGACGATTGATTGAATGATGTGATAAAACCTCATGTAAAAATTTAAGCTGTTTTTGAAAAGACGATTCGGATATGCATTCGAGTGTAAGAGTGAATGTGCTTCTTGCAAAAGTGCGATGCTGTCCACGAAAAAAGAAAGGAAAGATCCTTAGACGGGCTGACTCAGTGCAAAGGAATCCACTTGTTAGATCCGTATCTGCACTGCACGTTTCTTCGCAGCTCGTTCACTTAGTTTATGAAGTGATGGGTGAACGGTTTCGCTAGGAGCATTACTGTGCTTGGACAAAAAATCCAGAAAAAATTAGAGATATTGGAAGCGGTGAGAATCTCATTAGAAACGTAGAGTAATCAGATCTTACTTGTTTGATAAGGCTCCTTGTTTGCACACCAGTAAAGTGAAAGAAATACTGCGCTCTAGCAGGAAAATCTATGAAAAAATAATTTTGAAGTGTCGATGAATCTTTATGAGAGTCACAATGCAATCAGACTTGTATTGTAAGTGGACTCTTATGACTGACTCTATTGTGTGGAAAAAAACACCAAAGGTAACTCAAATAGGGAAGAATCCATCTCCAATGTCTAAATCAGATCTCCAAAAATCTGATTGAATTATTAAAGAGTAACTAGAGAAACAAAATTGGCTGTTATTGAGAAAAATTACTTGGCTTTTCAGAACATAGTAATAGGAGCTCAAACATCTTACTAATCAGAATGACCATTTCTGTGTTTTTGTAGGCACGTCCACCCAAATCAGGAATGGCGGGATTTTGACGCTATATGATAGTAGAGCCTCTAGCTAAGTAATCAACAAAATTTTGCTGCAAAAGGTGAATTCCGAAAAGAGGAAATCGTTCCAGAAGGAACAGGGTCCCAGGAATCTTCGCCCATGAACATAGATGGTTGGAAGTTGATGAGTGCGAAAATGCTCTCAAAGTAGATAGAAACGTCGGAAATCTGATAGCGAAGATGAAGAGAGGATTTTGGGCAATTTTAAATACTCTAAAGGGAATTTTTAGCTTTTTGACTTCGGACATTTACGCTGATGGATGGATGGTGCGATTTTCCTGTTTCGGAATCTTTTGCAGCGAACATGAAGGATTACTCAGTTAGGGACTCTGCTATTATACAGCATCAAAAATTCACCATTATCAATTTGGATGGACGGTGCCTTTGAGTTTTGTTTTCATGAGTTTCCCACTTCAGTCATAACAAGTTTTTGGTAACCTGTGCTACGAAGTACACTCGAATCATTTCATATGATCTTGTGTGTCATTGCACACACAGTCCATTTGTGGCGTTTCTATCCTGGATGCGTAGAAGAAACAATCCTTCCGATAAGTGTTGTTAATGTGCTCTTAACATTTTCTTTTCTTTTTAGGTACTAATACCTCAAATTGATGTAATCGATAAAAATTGTTGTTTCTTGCGTTGCTGCGATTGCAAATCCAGGATAAGACGCCCAAGGTGGACTGTATGTGCAATGACACACATGATCATATGAAATGAATGGACGTAGTTCGTCTCGCAGTGAACGATTTGACACTGTAAGATCAAAAGCACCAAGCAGTTACTTACTACTCATTAGTATTCATTAGTATTATTAATTATTATTCATTACTATTCACACTAATTATAAAAGAAATAAAAACGGGGACACCTAGTGATATTTTCTGTTGAACTGCCTATAAGATAACCGAAAATGGAAATGAATAAAGTAAAGCAGATCGAGTCAAATTGCAAATGTAATGCTAAACTCATAGGGTCATCCCAATTTGTCAATCTTCAGATTCAAACAAATGGAATTTTACTCGACAAATCAGTTTATGTTGTGTTTATAAGTTTGCAGCAGGCCTTTATACACTTACATCGATATAAATTTCGATATAGAGTCTTGAGTGTATTATGGAACACTGAAGAGCACAAAAATAAGGAAGCGCAGAATTTATCTTACATTAGATTTGAGAAGATTCAAAGATATTAGAAAAGATGATGAGATAAAAAAGCGAAGATCGACTATTCTACTGAAGGCAGTGTAATTTCTGATTGATACAAGCTCATCGTAGCTGAATCTGTAATATAACCCAATATTTGAGTGACAGTTTCCGTCAATTAGCAACATGAAATAAAATATGGAATTCAATGTTATTTAGTCAGCCAAAGAGAAGTTTATGAAAAGAATGCAGAGTGAATCATTCACGAGTGAGTCATAATCAATTTTCACCACAACAACTGGAATGCGTTGAGAAGATTAGCAATGTAATTTTGCTGCATAATAAAGCTACAGTAACCAAAATCAATTTCCCGTACACTGAAACAGTCCAAAGTGTTTCTGGGAATGTTTTCGTGATGGCGAAAAAATTCTGGAATTTGACAGAATAATAGAAACAGCGAGCTGTTGACTGATGCTGATGAATCAGAAGCGAAGGGGCTATTAAAATAACAATAGAATTGTTTCTCTCATAATTTTCGCATTGATTTCTTCCCAGATGATAAATGAGGTTACGCTTGCTGGTTTTTCTTGCGCATCTCGATTTTTCGCTTGCCGAAGATGACAATCTTTGATTCATTTCTATCGAAGTGGCCCGATTTTACAGCTGTGAAGGAACGCTTTTTCCTTATTACTGCTCTATCCATCATTTCAGCCGAAAAATAGACTGAATCAGAAGGTGTGGATCGTTCCCTTGCTCTAAATAAGCGCAAAACTGAATATATGTGTTTCTTTTCACACCGCGACTTCATAATCTTTCAACCTTAAATATGCTGTTCCCGAGGGGAGGGGGGGGGGGGATGGAGAGCATGTCAAATTCCTCCATATAAAAAATCATGCATTAAATGACTTCCAATATGGAGTATAGGATTAGGCGTATTTAGCACATTCACGACATACGACACACCGGTGGGTCGTACGTGATCTGC